GAATATCTCTGTGTGTTCATGTCTATATATATATATATATATATATAATTCGTTTTCAGGCAGGGGTTCATTTAATTTACCAATACGTATCATGTTCTGGTCGATATATATTTTCAACTCACAAAGGTCACGATAAGTTTGATTCAGCAGTCTCTTGTTGAAATCAAATTAGTTTGCAGATGAGTGTAATTCACGAATGAATCACTTTCGTTTCAAAAGAAAGAAAGGTTAAACACAAGTCCGCAAAAATCTACATCTGAAGAGAACGAATGGATCTCGTCCGAAATCGAAACTGTACCGTGTGAATAGCATGCTGAGCAAGGGTGGGCATACCTTTCTTGTATCCAACGGCGCTGTCTTTTGTACTCTGGGTGTGGTTATTTCAGGTTTGTCTACCTTAACGGTGGTGCCCATCTTGCGCTCTACGATCGGAGTCCCTTGGATCGCCTTTTTCTTCGCAGATGCATCTGACTGCGGGGTGTTCTCCTTATCACCCACTATTTTTTTCGATCCACTGGTTCTGTTGTTGGCTGCTGATGGGTACGAACGACTGACGTTACTACTGCTGGTCCGGTTACTGTCACTACTACTGCTTCGGCTCCGAGAACGGTCTGGGACGCGAGCTGCTGGCGGCTTTGTCAACGGAGTTCGCTTGAGAGGCAAACGACTCTTCAAAGAACCGAGTTTGGTTCGGGCCAGTGAAGATGGGCGCTTGTGCACTGCGGGTATACCTGTACGAAAGAAAAGAAAGCAACAAGCATAGTGAGGTGACGTCTAGAGCACTCCATCGAAATGGGACGACAATATTAAGAGTTCTGTTAAATCGGTCGTGAAAATAACGAATACTCGGCATCTTTGAGGCATAGAATATGCAGCAGCTGAATAAAGTGCCTCTGTTGTGCATGGTTTGTATTCGAACTCAAATCAGAAAGCTGTCTTTACTCAATTACTTCGTCAACGGACGGGAAGTACCTCGTCTGCCGCAGTAGAATGCTTTTCACCCTATATATAGTTTCGTACACAACAACGACTATGGAAGCAAAAATGTACATTAAAACTCAGATGCTTACGATCAGGTTTCGTTCTCGAACCTTCCCTGATAGTTTTCGAGACAAGTTCGCGGGAGTTTGCGGAATACCTGTCTGCAGCCTTTGATTTGGACTCTTTGGTGGTATCATCAACTGAAGATTTTTCTTCCGGCTTCACTGACTTTGTTTCACTTGTCTTCGGCCTCGATACCTTAGGCTCTTTCAGGTCCAATGAGGCTGGACGAACTGGCTGCTGTTCTTTCTCTCCATCGTCGGTATCTGGAGCGAGGCGAGGACGTTTTGAAGACGGTACTGATGGGAGGGAGGGGCGTGTTGTGCGTTGGCTAGTCTTCGAAGTGACTGGCAAGGGAAAGATGAAAGCTCATTTGAGAGGCATTCAGAATATCTCTGTGTGTTCATGTCTATATATATATATATATATATATAATTCGTTTTCAGGCAGGGGTTCATTTAATTTACCAATACGTATCATGTTCTGGTCGATATATATTTTCAACTCACAAAGGTCACGATAAGTTTGATTCAGCAGTCTCTTGTTGAAATCAAATTAGTTTGCAGATGAGTGTAATTCACGAATGAATCACTTTCGTTTCAAAAGAAAGAAAGGTTAAACACAAGTCCGCAAAAATCTACATCTGAAGAGAACGAATGGATCTCGTCCGAAATCGAAACTGTACCGTGTGAATAGCATGCTGAGCAAGGGTGGGCATACCTTTCTTGTATCCAACGGCACTGTCTTTTGTACTTTGGGTGTGGTTATTTCAGGTTTGTCTACCTTAACGGTGGTGCCCATCTTGCGCTCTACGATCGGAGTCCCTTGGATCGCCTTTTTCTTCGCAGATGCATCTGACTGCGGGGTGTTCTCCTTATCACCCACTATTTTTTTCGATCCACTGGTTCTGTTGTTGGCTGCTGATGGGTACGAACGACTGACGTTACTACTGCTGCTGGTCCGGTTACTGTCACTACTACTGCTTCGGCTCCGAGAACGGTCTGGGACGCGAGCTGCTGGCGTCTTTGTCAACGGAGTTCGCTTGAGAGGCAAACGACTCTTCAAAGAACCGAGTTTGGTTCGGGCCAGTGAAGATGGGCGCTTGTGCACTGCGGGTATACCTGTACGAAAGAAAAGAAAGCAACAACCATAGTGAGGTGACGTCTAGAGCACTCCATCGAAATGGGACGACAATATTAAGAGTTCTGTTAAATCGGTCGTGAAAATAACGAATACTCGGCATCTTTGAGGCATAGAATATGCAGCAGCTGAATAAAGTGCCTCTGTTGTGCATGGTTTGTATTCGAACTCAAATCAGAAAGCTGTCTTTACTCAATTACTTCGTCAACGGACGGGAAGTACCTCGTCTGCCGCAGTAGAATGCTTTTCACCCTATATATAGTTTCGTACACAACAACGACTATGGAAGCAAAAATGTACATTAAAACTCAGATGCTTACGATCAGGTTTCGTTCTCGAACCTTCCCTGATAGTTTTCGAGACAAGTTCGCGGGAGTTTGCGGAATACCTGTCTGCAGCCTTTGATTTGGACTCTTTGGTGGTATCATCAACTGAAGATTTTTCTTCCGGCTTCACTGACTTTGTTTCACTTGTCTTCGGCCTCGATACCTTAGGCTCTTTCAGGTCCAATGAGGCTGGACGAACTGGCTGCTGTTCTTTCTCTCCATCGTCGGTATCTGGAGCGAGGCGAGGACGTTTTGAAGACGGTACTGATGGGAGGGAGGGGCGTGTTGTGCGTTGGCTAGTCTTCGAAGTGACTGGCAAGGGAAAGATGAAAGCTCATTTGAGAGGCATTCAGTGACACTTATTTGAATACAGTATCCTAGGGTGAGTTGCTTCAATCTACGCAAAAGACTGAGACGGACAGTGACAAAAGCGAAAGTGCCACTGAACAGCTGTCATTTGAATATGGTCCATACATAATGCAGCATAGTGGAAGAATAAACTGCAGATATGAAGTGCAGGAGACTTGGCTGGGTGGCCCTATCAGTGAATATCTATATTATCTATGTCTATCTATCTAAATCTATGTCTGTCTGTCTGTCTGTCTGTCTGTCTGTCTGTCTGTCTGTCTGTCTGTCTGTCTGTCTGTCTGTCTGTCTGTCTGTCTGTCTGTCTGTCTGTCTGTCTGTCTGTCTGTCTGTCTGTCTGTCTGTCTGTCTGTCTGTCTGTCTGTCTGTCTGTCTGTCTGTCTGTCTGTCTGTCTGTCTGTCTGTCTGTCTGTCTGTCTGTCTGTCTGTCTGTCTGTCTGTCTGTCTGTCTGTCTGTCTGTCTGTCTGTCTGTCTGTCTGTCTGTCTGTCTGTCTGTCTGTCTGTCTGTCTGTCTGTCTGTCTGTCTGTCTGTCTGTCTGTCTGTCTGTCTGTCTGTCTGTCTGTCTGTCTGTCTGTCTGTCTGTCTGTCTGTCTGTCTGTCTGTCTGTCTGTCTGTCTGTCTGTCTGTCTGTCTGTCTGTCTGTCTGTCTGTCTGTCTGTCTGTCTGTCTGTCTGTCTGTCTGTCTGTCTGTCTGTCTGTCTGTCTGTCTGTCTGTCTGTCTGTCTGTCTGTCTGTCTGTCTGTCTGTCTGTCTGTCTGTCTGTCTGTCTGTCTGTCTGTCTGTCTGTCTGTCTGTCTGTCTGTCTGTCTGTCTGTCTGTCTGTCTGTCTGTCTGTCTGTCTGTCTGTCTGTCTGTCTGTCTGTCTGTCTGTCTGTCTGTCTGTCTGTCTGTCTGTCTGTCTGTCTGTCTGTCTGTCTGTCTGTCTGTCTGTCTGTCTGTCTGTCTGTCTGTCTGTCTGTCTGTCTGTCTGTCTGTCTGTCTGTCTGTCTGTCTGTCTGTTACAGCTAGAAACCGGAAAGGTGTTACAGATGAACGAGTGAAAACGTCGCCGTACGCAGACAGTAGGCTTAATCCGATTGTGTTAAAAAGCAACTACTACTGACCGGACCAAATGTCACCTATACGATCCACTCAACTAGCCATAAGCAACTTCAAGCAGCCTAAATAACCACTACAACCTCCAGAACTAAGAAATCAAGATTTTACGCAGAATTTCCCTTCAGATCACGGGCACGCTAGCGTGACGTCTAAAACCTGTTGGAACTATTTAGGTGACAGCGTGAGACGTTCTACACATGTATCTGACAAAATTAATGCAGCGAGACGGAACAACTGGACCAGGAATACCTTGTGCATCATCAGGTGAAGGTCGGGTACTCGGAAGTCGTTAGAGGAGATCCATGAAATCCAAGTAGTGCAATCGCCCCTTATATATCATTCATGACCAAAAACATTCCAAATCAAAAGAACACCAATACACCGACAAGATGATGGCGCATCAAGACACATTCCCAGGAAACATACATCAAAACCATGAACTAAATGTGGGTTTCCAATGTCTGAAGCATGTCAACTATCAGCACGAAACTTTATACATTCGGTAAAGAACAAATAGGAGCTACAAACCTGTATGCTGTTCCAACTTGGCAGACGGTAACGAAGCTTCTTTTGATACAGCGTTGTGTTTGTTAGTGGATCGCTTTAGTTCCGCCACGGGGAGCAAAGTACGTTTCAGAGTGACCTGGGTCGATGAGATCCTGCTCTTCAGACGCGATCGTTTGTGCAACCGATCATCCTTGTCGAACATCATCCGACGTCGACGAATCATGGGAGCCGTCGTTGTAACAATATCCGATGCTGTCTCCGTTGTTTGACTTTGATCACTTTCGACTTCTTCCTCCTCTTGTTCAACTTCAGACGATCCCTGATCGTCCTCCCTTTCTTTCTGTTCCGTGTCACGATTTGGTCCACTTTTGTCCCGCCCTTGATCTCGAGCGGCTACTCGACTACCCGACTTAGAGTCACCGGAAACAGCTGCATGTGACCTTCGGGGAGGTTCTTGAACGACCAAGTTAAGCGATGAGCATGAGGGTGGACGGTCGGAGTCCGGTGGACGAGCCCATTCAACGATGGAGCTGAAACAGCAACAGCACTTTAGAAATATACTCAAAACCAATTCACAGCTGAATAATCTGTAATTATTCTTAACCCATCTAAATCAAATCTACCAAGTAAAATTGATACAAATAATCACGGTTAGCTGCGTTGACTTCGGGTTGTATGACTATACACATTCCGAAGGGTTACGTTTTACTTGCTAACATGTGTAAAAATGAGTTCGAAAAGAGAGGAAAGCCTTGAAAATTGCAGTGCATGCGGAAGCTGTGAAGATACTTGGATCTCTGAAAAACACAAAGCTGCGCGGCAGTTTGAAGCGTAGCTCCTTGTCTTCTTAGAACTACTAATGGAGCAATATCTGGTCTACAACTCCATTATGAAGCATCCAAGTGAAGAATTCGGCACACTCCCGTCATTTTCCTGGATGTTTGGCACTACTGTGACCTTCGTTAACCCGGGGAACATGAAACGAAATGGGACCAGTGTCCATGGTAAATCTATGTGCCAACGTGTGAACAAGTGCATGGCTTTTCAAAAAAATCATCAGTGATAGTAAGTCAAATGGCCTCGGACAGCTCAGTGGTTGTGCACGCGCAAGGTCTAGGTTCGAGTCCATGAGTGTCTTGACAGTAAAGATGTAAAAAAAACACTGTTTTAGTGGACTCACATGATACGTGACCTGGAGACCACCTCGTCGTGCCGCGTGTTCCAGCCCATGTAATGTACACGATACTGTGTCTCTGTAGGACACGTCCAAGAAGCGGGTAAACTGCTCTCCTTCCCTCCACGAGCCACCAAACCCGGCTGGGGACGTATGTGTTTCAACACTTTGGCTTCATAAGCAACGCGATCGCCACACCGAACCCGAACACGGGAACCAATTGGAATAATCTGAAAATATGTGAAGCGGAATGGAGTTTTGAATGATTCATGTTGAGAGGGATCGAAAAAACCAAGCTCTATGAGCTACACAGTTGATGAATAAAAACCTACTGATGTCCTATGAGTGTGGGACTTAGCTGGCATGAATGAACTCAGAAAATATCGTGAACACTGAAGGCTAACCCTGATAGGACAAAGTGGAAAGTCTTGCCAGACCACCCTCCTCACCTGGTTCAGTTTGCTCATCTCGCAATTGTCGTTAAATCGGGCCAGGTCATCCGGCAATTGGAGGAACAGTGGTTGATGAGGAAAGTCGTGTTTCGTGCGTTCGGATTGAGAATTACTTTTGCATGAATCAGCAAAAGATGAAGACGTTGACAGTGGTGTCACAACTCGAGGCTCTGAGGTTGCATCGACCGTAGTTTTCACAGCCTTATCTTGTGTGGCGACAGCGGGTGTGTGTTTTGCCTTTGATTAGAAATAAACAGAGAAAAAGTCAGATTATAGTGCACAAACGGGTGAATACTACCTAATTGGTATCCAAAGGGAAGCTCACTTCTTTTGCCTTGCGATTAGCACGTGCACCCGACACATCCAGCGTCTTTCCTGATTGTTCTTTAGTGGACTGTTGCGAAGTAATCTGTTTGCGAACGGAACGTAATGGCGTTGCTGTCGTATCCAGGGCACTCGAAATCCAGTGGTCGGCTGGTGGTGAGGGGGTTCGACCAAGTACAGGCGGACTTAAGACTGGAGGCGAGCATTCAACTGCTGGTTCTGAGGTTTGTTCCGGTGGTGGTGCCTCGGAACAGGATACTACAGCTTCCTTCGCTGTGTGTGGCACCATCTTTGCTGCGTTGCCTTTGCTATCACTAGTTTTGGCCTCTGTCGTGGAGGGTTTCGGTGTGGATATAGTGACAGCCCGAGCGGAACCGATGAAGGACCGCATTGCACTGCCTGAGTTTGATGAGAGGTGTCGTGGTCGGGCCAGAGGTAGCTCATCGAGGTCTGTACCCAGCTTGCGACTTATGTCATCCAACGGGTAAAGGTACCTGGAACAATTTAAACAAAAAAATTAGGCTGATGGACCCGAATTAACACCAAATCAAGCGATTAGTGTTCAGCTGAGTTGAAGTGCTTGAATTTGCACATTCTAAATAAGGTGCAGCATTAAGATTGCGTCCTCGTCAGAAAACCAACGAGTCGAGTATCAACAAAGTAATTTTTCTCAGGTGAAACAACAAAACGGAGGAGCTAGAATATTGTGTACGTGTACATCGTGCAGATGTTCTGCGATTGTTTTGCCGCCCGTATGCGGTGGTTTGCGATGCACGGTACGAAGGAACTGCAGGGGTAACCGTTTATTTACACAGCAAATCGGGGGTATCTGAATGGTCATGTCAGATGGCTTCACTCATGATCGAAAGGCACTGAACCCTGTTGCTTGGTTGAGTGGGCGAGCTCGTAACCAATCGGAACGTTCTATCCATCGCTGCTTGGCCAATCAGGATATTTCTGGACAGCTGGAAAGATGCTTAAACCACGCGGTATACAAAACACTATTATAGCTCCCATCTCTCTCAATTTACGGTGTTCCCGTTGAGTGTGAGGCCCCCAAAACCCTCAACACATCCTACCAGACAGCGACTCGCCAAACTAATCACTAATCTAGATCTAGTATATGCTTAAAACAGGATATGAGAGCTTTTGTTGATCACCATGGCATTTTTGTATACTTGGCATTAAATTATGCGGAAGTCTGACGCTCGAATTCCACCATAAATGGATACGCGCTATCAATAAAGCCCTCTAGTTATACTCAGACCCCACCTATCTTTGAATAAGCTCAAGTTTGTATCACTCCCTCTGATAAGCAAACCTACGAGAAAGAACAATGGTCTGGTGAATGATGAAGTATGGATGGGACGTTGTCAACATTTTTCTGTTTCCACTTCATGGAAGAAGATTAGGATGGCTGTTGAGTGCTTCGATGTCTTAATCAACTGTACTTTTCCCCAGGTTTAAGCGATCGATGCTTATCTGCAACAGAAGTTGGGTCCCAAACCACAAAAGATCCTTCATTGTGACTTAGGCTACGGTGAATTACTCCTTTCCCCATGCCTTATCAAAACGATTCAACCCAGCTGCATCGTCCAGATCCCACTCGTTATCATCGACAAATATTAATGCATGTACTTGAAGCTGCATTGACTCTATGCTTTATATGCGTTCTAGCTAGCTGGAGAGTGAAACCCAAGGCAATAACCACCCAGAACCTAACTCTCAAAAGGTACTTGCTAGCTATCGCATTATCGTACGGTGCTTGCTCCAGGCCCTTGGTTTCTTTTGGACTCTCCAAAACTGTTGATTAACCGAACTTCGTTGAGTACTCTAGCATACTCGTTGGAACATATAAGTTCTTCCAACGATTAGTCTCATACGCAGACAAGCTTGGTATGGACAGGAGATCCAGATGAGGGTGATCAACGCGGTACGCCTAGAATATAATTTCTTTGCCAATTAATGACAGCAGGGATTCGCATGTTGTTTGTCAATTACCTTAGATGAAATATTACGTGGTTCCCTAAGGAATGCTAACTGCGGCGGACAAAGCTGAAGTTGTGACCTTGGAACAGTACTGCTTGCGCTAGTGAGCATCATTAAGGTCAACTGTAGCATAAAATGGTTCAGCCGTGCCTAGCTGCCATGCCATCCGAAAGGAACACGAGGGCTGTGATATTACCAAGATGTCCGGCCTAGACAGGGAAAGTTAAAATGCAGAGATCGGGTTCGAACCACGGACATTCCTTTCAGTAAATTCGCGCTCTAACCACTTAAGCCATCTCGCCCCCAATTGTAGCGTAGGTATGATAGCACACCGTCAGCAAGCAACACGACCTTCTAGGAGTTTTGTGTATACAAAGTAGAGTTATCATAAGTCGGTGAGTGCTGTGTGGTGGGGATATCGGTGTACGAAGTTGGAGAGAATGACAAGCGAATGAGCCTAATATTTTTCCCCACACTATATGCGGAACACAGTAGATCCAGCAGATCGACAAGAATGTTGGTCGGATGGACGGCACTACCACTCATTGGTATTTGTTCCCGTAACCATGCAATGGAAGATGCTTCACAGAGGCAAAGTGTGTAGCTTTAGAAGCACGAGACAAACACGGTGAGCTCTATAGCGGGTTAAAACGGACAGTGCACAGCAACTTTGGAAAAGAGGTTTGGGTTGAAGGCCGCGAACAAAACAAGTCTGCATAATACAAGTTCAAAGTGTTAACATAGAAAAACAAGAAACCTGCTACCGTAGTATCAAGCAGAAACATAAAGCTTACCGTTTGAATGCTGCCTGCAAGTTTCGTGGTCCAGCGGCAAAATTATGAGGCAGTCCAAGCTTCGAATAAATGTAGCCCCACTTGAGTTGAGCTGTGACACGATGAAAGCCCCCGTGAGCACGAACAAGCTACAAAAGTGTAAGACACAGAAGCACTTGAAGTTTAGCGGAAAAGGTGACAAACAACCGATGAAGGTAGTAATGTACAGGGCTAAATCTGAATGCTAATGTCAAGTCTCTTCTTCATAATCAAGGTATCCGACCTCTGCCTTTCGAATTCCCCTGTCTAGGTTTGGACAATCTGGCAGTATAACGGCCCTCATGCTCCCTTCTGGTAGCAGTTAGGCACCGAAAGGATGCTACACCTGAACGACGAAGCAAGGAATTTCCAAAGTTTTTAAAGATAACGGCGATTTTCCAAGCAATTATGGGATACAGAATAACGCTCAGACGTTGGTTGACTTGAACAGCCAACAAACTAGTCATAGTTTCCTTCCTGACGTTGTCCTGCCACTTTGCCGAATTTCTTTCTTGGTAGTAGAGATAAATTTACTCTCCGGAAGCAAGTATTGAACATACCGATTATATCGATGTTATATCTGCTGATTCGCCGGCTTGTGGTATCTGTTGCTGACCAGCTCCAATGCCTAGTGTCGGAGAGAAAAAGACTCACGGAAGGGAACACAATAGCTATACTCCAAAAAAGTGGTTGCGAGTGCGAAAAGTACAACGGCCTCAAGCTTTTTATTGGAAGGACACTTTCTGAACTTGGTCCAATGCTGACGCACGCGGTCTGGCTTTAGTACGAGGCAGCGACGTGCTGCATATTGCGGAGGCGTTGTCTGTCCTTGATCAACACTGACTCGCTGTCTGGGTTTGATGCAAGGCTGTGACGCGCTGCATATTGAGGGAGCGTTGACTGTCTGGTCAACACCCAGCGGAGCTGAGGGTCCCCGTAGATTCCGGGCATTCAGTGGTTGCTTTCAGGAAGCTGACCTTCCTGATAATCGATTATATCCACCAAGTGGCTGACTGTCATTTTTCGTGTGAAAATCAACGATTACAGTGTTTCGCTTGTACAAATTACAGGTCTAGCGGCAGCTACCCTGGATGACAATTCAAACAGGCAGATGATAGGCTGTTTTACTCAAGGTCATAACAGTAGGTTGAGATATTACCTAAGGACTTGGAGTATGGTTGTGCAAATTCCGAATAAACGTTAAACATGAAGTGCATGAGCTCAGACAGGCATGCAAGAGGTACAAGGAACTGTCGACGACTGCTTTGGAAATTTGTCTCAACTCGGAAGGAGCGGATCTTTTTTTTCGCAGTCGGACTGAAATCATTGTCCCTCGGTGACACATTTAAGGAGATGAGAAGAATCGAAAAGTAGGCAACTTGGTAACGTCACAACTGTTCGAGGGAAACTGACTGTTTCAAAATAGATACAAATCGATGAGTCACTTACAAAAAGTCCGAAACGCTTGCACATAAGGGCACGTCCATGCTGGCTAAGGCGAAGGAATGAAATACAACACAAAAGGGGAAATATCTATTCGAATCACTCTTGTTTTGACAGTCCTTATTTCTTACTACCACCACCATCCTGTCAGTTCAAATCATACAGTGGAACCATTGGATTAGAACTCCCCTCTTGTTGGAGCCCTGTCAAGTGATGTTGTCAGGGCGCGCCCAGACAGAAGAAAAAGCACATGTGCACAGAGGGACGCATCCCCAAGGTCACCATCGGTTCGACACGTCCGGAAAGTAGGTGAGTCGGCGGCTCCCACCAAACACGACCAGTGTAGTGGACCTGAGATTGTTCACGACCGGAACACCACCATTGGCTGTATGGAGCGAACAAGTGAACGGCCATATTTGGCCGTCTAGTCATCCTATATATTTACGCAGAGGCTCTGTACGTTTTTGTCCTGGCAATACAGCCGTGTCCGCAATTCTCTGTCTTCTCCCTATCGCGTAGTCTGGCGGGCGCAGCCGTAAACCCAATAGCTCGGCCACCGCACAAGACACAACAGATGTCAGACAGGGCTGTCCCCTTTCACCTTTCCTCTTCAACTTTGTCATTGATACGATCACTGAAGACTCACTGTCAGCCTCTGGGGGCGAGATGGCTCGAGTGGTTAGAGCGCGAATTTACTGACCAGAAGGTCCATGGTTCAAACCCGACCACTGCCTCTCGATTTCCCCTGTCCAGGTTTGGGCAACCTGGCAACATTCCAGCCCTCGTGCTGACAGTGTCTAATGTTGGGAGGTCCAATGATTTAAAAAAAATCACACTTGTAACAATCCAGCGCAGTCAAGTCGAATTTCGACTTCCTAAACATGATATAAGAAAACAAGAAGCGAAATAGTGTCCAAACCGATCAACTAAAAGAAAGTAAATTCGCGCTCTAACCGCTGAGCCATTTCGATCAGCTGGGTATTGACCCACATGTAATGATAATAATAATAAAAACAATAAAGGTTAGATGTAACACCTTTTCGGTTCCCAGATGCCATGCTAGCCGAGAGCAGTGCGAGGGTGCCAGGTTGCCCAAGCCTATAAAGGAGCAATTGAGATGACGAGGTTGGGCCCTAACTACGGACCTTTCGGTCGGTAAGTTCGTACCCTGACAACTGAGCTAGCTGGAGCTCTAGCATCTGGAGGAGCACAAACATTTCGAAGCGTTTCACATTGTCTCTCACACCTCTGTCGCTGGAATAAAAGAAACATAATACATGGATCCACATTAAGACAGATGAAGAACAGAACACCTCGTGTTTTACGGATATCGTAGAGGGCTGTGAAAAATCCATCGTAGTACAACTCTGAGGCAAACTGGGTTGCTTCTGTACTTTAACGGTAACTGGAACGAAAACCATTTGTAAATGGAGACCAAAGCAATCCTACATGGGGATCCTTCGGGATCATTGTAGAGTTTATACGTCCTGTGGAATCAAGGACATACCTACATTCTTAACAAGTGCTGTGTATTTATACGTTCAACAGTATTGTGTTATGTGCTCTGACAACGCACTTCCACGGTGGGTGAGGAACGGTAAATCAACAGTGCGAACATAGGATCCCACATTCAGTCAAATTAACTAGACTGTTCCCTGCCCATGGGTTAATTTCTTCAATAGGACGCGGTTTATCACCTCTTTGTCATGCTGCTGAAGTGTCCCCTACAGAGACTTTTAATACAATCTCAGCCATTTCGGGGGGAAGTGCCTGAGCCAGAAAAGAGGACTACCTTGAAAGGATCTTCTAAGTATCCTGACCATCGATGGCGGATTCAGAGTACGCGCGCTATAGAATTCGTCTGTATACAAAAGCTCCGCAAGGCGAAACCTCAGCGGGCAGCATAAACACTGACACACAGTAGTTAGAATTTCCTAAATAGAAACGGTGAACTCGCCTTATATAGTTTATACAAATCCAAGTCCTTATTTGCCAGACTAGGGGCCTTGTTGATGGGAGCACCGCCCTCATCCATAAAACGGTATAGTTGGGCAATCCAACGATCTCGAGCTTCGAAGTCCACAGATGATGACGAGTCAGAATCGGATGGAGACGAGCTGCTGGAGCTCTCTTCCTCTCTTTCTGAAGACTCGGAATGTAGGGCCAAGTCAGAGTCGGAAGAGGCCGTGTTATCGGAGTAATCAGACTCGCTCAATTTGTTGCGATCAGCTGCACGCCTTCTGGTTTTGTTGACCTGCTTTCCCAATAACTTTCGCTTATCCTTAGATAGCTTTGGTGAACTGGAACGGCTCGAATTAGATGAGCCAGACTTCTTCGCTGAGCTCTTAAGTTTCGGACGCTTCGCCTCCAGTTTTCTGGCTACACGCGAAGTAATTGCACCATCAGAAGGTCTGGAACGCTTACGGATATCAATTGCTTTCCCCTTGCTGTCCGTGACCTTTTTGGGAGTTGAAGTATTTTGCCGAACTGAAAAACGATTTCGACTGATACCGACTGAACTTGTAGGAGTCTGCACGGCAGCATCTTCGTCCGAAGAGTCCCAGGAGACCTGTGAACAAGAGGGTTTCTTTTTGGATTTGGATTTGACAGCTTCCGTAGAACGGACACTCTCAGAAAGAGAAGCCTTATACTGTCGCTTAGTGGCACGCCAATTTTTCGTACCGAGAAGAGTTTGCATAGCTGTCTCACCCCAGGGTGCAGGTAGTTCATATCTGTCTAACCAAAGAAGTGCTCTTTCGAACGCATTTCGAAGTGACGGGTGCGAATGAGCAAGTTCCACAGCGGAAGGTCGCTTGAGGCGTTTCATGTAGCACAAAGGAACTGGGAAAAAACGATTGTCTTTGAAGGAGCGAACAAGAAGATTGGGTACTTTGGCCAACTTTCCAGAACCCGGTAGTCGAAGATCTATGCTTGGCATTGCCGAGGGTAATACAACCAAAGCGGGTGTGAACCGACGACGGGCCAGTGCTTCGGAGGAACTAACAGAAACGTTTCCAGTACTATTTGAAGGTGAGGGGATGGTATCTGGAAGGAAAGATAGCATATTTAAGTAACTTCTGTCGAACTTGAACCAAAACGGAAATCCAGCACAAAATAAACCAACAAACCTTTATGACTGAGAGGCATATTGACCAGGACTAATCGACCAATCAGCCGCTGATACGGCACACTCAGACGACACTCGGGTTTGTTCGATGATCGTTCCTCAGTCGCTAAACTCTGAGAAGCCACATGTGACTCGCTCAACAGTGAGGAATCAGGCTCCGGATGGAGTTCCGGAGCAGAACCCGTACTGGCACCTGGACAATGATCTTCGGATAGAACGCTTGGCGACTTTGTGTCCAAGATAGGACACCCAGATGTCTCGGACACCTTTGAAATGGCCTTCCGTTTACGTTCATCATCATCCTGTTCTTCGCTGCTACATTCATCCTCATCCTCCTCATTAGCATCATCTTCGCTGTAAGAAACCGATTGGTAGAGGAGAGTTAGCGAGGTGATTAAGAGAAATAGGCTAACAAGTCGGTTAATTTGGTCAAACGAAGCTTACTTTGATCGATGCTTTTTCCGATCGATTACCGGTTGTCGGAACTGCTCGGGGTTGGTCAGAGGGAGTGAATCGAGGCTCTGTGAGTACGACACGGGAAAGAATGGGCAATATTATAGCAAGAGATTTCCGAAATATTGCAATTTGCCAGGATACACAAGAAAAAATCAAACGCATTGACTTAAAATCTTTTTCCGCATTGGATATCTAGACCGTGGCATCCCGGTTAGATAAAGTGGGTCTCACCAAGGATTACTATCATAGGTGAGTGGAATCAATGAATCCGTCGACGATGATTTACTGTAGCACATGAAAGCAACTGGCGGAAGAGATTAGTGTGAAAGATAAACGTTGGTGAACTTAATGGGTGACTAGTACCTGTCGAATCCGGCATACTGAGGCGGATGAAGTCAAAGAAGCATAGTTAATTTGGTGTTCAGCATCCAGCATTCGAGAAACTCATTCTGAAGGCGGGATTTCTTCCTGTATGGGGGAAGCTGCTGCTGAAAGCTACAACAGACACCACAAAGTTCACGATCCATGGTTATGTCTGACTGGCTGTTAGTGCCCATATCGCGTCATCGTACCGAAGTCGACCGTTCGACCCCAACTTGAACGGACCATTAAGACAGCAGTAGAACCCCCGGCAGAAACGCAGTCGTTAAACGGAGAGGCGAGAAGTGTTTTTTTACGTTTCTGCAAAGAGGTTCAACATCTTTCTCGCAGTCTACATTGTCAGTCGGACGGGTTCAGAGATAACACAGTCACTCCGATTGCCAAATTTGGTACTATCAGTGGTCTGTGTGTGAATAAGAGAGAGATACTGGTATGGGGCTTCGCTCATACATCGTATCTCTAACGAAGCTCACCTTGTAACCCAAAACGACTCTGAAGTTCGTACAATCTGGCTAAGTGGTGTCACAACTTCCAAACACAGTACAGTGTAGCTTTATAATGGTGAAAACAGCGGGTACTTTTGGTCGCCTCCTCACCTCCTCAAGCTATTGTTAAAAAAGTATCATTGAATGAATTCTCATGGGTCCGGCAGTATCAGCGAGGGTTCACTCACCCCCACATCGTCTGCACGATGAATGCCCACGAATCTCCCTGTTTAAAATTGACAGATTGACGAAAATGCCGAAGTCAATTACATTTTATCCACAATTAGAATCGATGGCTCAAGCTGCTCACTGATGACAAATGGATCTGTTTGTCCAGTATGGGAGGAAGTGAAAGCTACGTAGTTTTGATAAGAGACCGCTACTGACTGAGCCACGTAGCCATATCTGTCAGGGTCATTGACCATTGATTTGTCTCACCCCGGGGTCCTCATCTGGAGAAACGGCAATTACCAACGCGAATGAGCTGACTGGTGAGGGCTTCCACACTTTGTTGCCAAGTCATGGACTAACCGCCTTCCAATCATCCCCACCTGACACAAGGCTGGGCGAAAAAGGCTCTACAGGGCGAACGGTGTCCTGGCATACAAAGTAAATGGCCTAACAAGCGTAACCTGTGAAATGCGGTCAGATGATCTATCAAAAGAGGATGAGCTCTTCAGAAAACCATCTCACGTACCTTAGGATTACTGGTCTGATGTTCCCGCCAGACCAACGCAATCTTTCGAAGGCATTGACGATCAAACACACAGAATCCCTGAAGATCTTCCGCATGCAGCAGCCAAATCCGACCGCGGCACTGTACAATCAAGCTGGTGTCACGTCGGTGCCACAAATGTCTCAGGTTAGCGAACACTACCCTGGACTTTCCAATTTGGGAGGTGATTAAGTCTTTCGCCAGTCCACTATGACATATGCAGCTGCTCAGATAGATAAACTTATCTACCACATCGATCGATCAACCTGCCAACATGAGATTTGGGTTTGGTCGCACCCAGCTCATTTCAGACACCCTCCAACATACAGACACACAAGAATTCCTATCCCTCCGGGAGGGCGGTTGAGAGGATCGAAGCCTGGTGAAACCTGCACCAACCGTGGCGACGGTTTCGAATACCTTGGACCTGGACACTCGTTTGCCATATCTAGCTCAAGGTCACACCTTAACTCCCACAGCGGATCCATATTTCATCATGCGTAGTTCCAATCAACGAATACCAAGCCCTGCACATCCTGCCACAGCAGCCTCTGGATCATCAGAGGTGCGCAGCCGGAAGCGACAGGAGACTGACGGAGCGGTTAGCTCAATCACTGAGCTTGTATCTTGAATTCTCGTTTCTGGGACACAGCACACATCAATGACAAGCAAGTCCAATGTGAGTGCACCTCTTTGCCTTGCTTGCTTCAGAGTGCGGACATTGAACGCGGCCAAATAGACTGGGTGTCGAGGCTTGAAGATTGATTTGGAGATACCTGAGGATGTCGGCGCCATGTGACGAGCACGCGTTGCGCGCAAAACCTATGCATGACGAACGGTGTTATCAGTCCTAAGTGATGGGTCCACAAGAGGAGAGTTATTAATGGGATGGGGAGAGGAGGAAGAAAGAGTACGTGAAAGAGAAAGAAGGGAGGCGTCAGCAGCAGCCTGTTTTCGCTTACCTGCTCTGCTGTATGCTGCGAGTAAGGTGACCCGGCTGATGGCACCACATGACGACCGATGTGGCATGAGAGGATTGTTAGTTGTAATTGTCATGGTTGTACGTGGGCTGGGGTACCGTCAGGGCGCCCAGACCCCGAAAACAGGATGATTAGGGTCCTCAACCAAAGTCTCTGGCCCAAAAGCCTAACCGCAAGGCAGCGGGTTTTGGCGGGAAATGCAAATGCATTACCATTTCTACGGGACAAGTCGCCACATTTTCCAACCCCCAACCTGGAGGGCCAGGAAACTGTTTGTCAGACCTCTAACCATGGACCAACTTGATATGAGAGACTCTGTGAGTGTCGCGGGGACACCTTCCAGTCTAGCTCAATGGGTCACTGAGGCGCGCAAACCGTCAGACCACGGTAGGGTCCAGTCCCTCGTCACGGCTCCGATCTTGTACAAGCTCAGAACCATTGTATCCAAAAAAATCAACGCGAATACGAAAACGCATACGCAAAAAGAAACGGACGTGTGAAGAACAAAACGCCTGAATCGACCGTGAAATTAAGTTTGTACTTTAAGAAACGGGCAAACTTACCTCACTTTCTTTGAAATGCCGTTCCCCTTTGAGGACTAATTGCGTACGCCGAAGGGTTCGTTTATCGCCATCATCAAATACTGTACAATATGAAGCAAATTTAAGAAAAAGCAAAAAATAAAACGTGAATTTGTTACAAGAAATGAAGGATTATACTGGGCAACACACCGATAGGACTAGGGTTGTCGAATTCGCGGCACGCCCCTGATATTATGTTCAATTAGGAGATTACAGCTCTCCGAAAAGGGACAATGATCGTATCAACAAGGGACGAGACATATTAACTAACGGAAGCACCTTGAAATCACTGACCGTCCAACTACCCAAACCACGCCATCGCTCAGTCGTCTCAGTATCCTCATCGTGAAGCACGGTATGTTTTCGGCTGTCAATGTATTACTCGCTGACAGTAGGATAAATAGGGGGTGACCGCTTGCAGGAGGTTGGTTGGGATCACACTGATGATTTTGAGGGATCGGAATGAATATGACATGGTCTATTTCCGGTTGCAAGGGGATCAAACAGTCACACAACGAGGAAGAGTGGTGCAAGAAGGCCACTATTTAAGTAACTGATCTGTTTCGCTTACAGTCTCTGGTCACCTATGTGTGTCAACACGGGATGCGACAGTAACCAGGGCTGTTGATGTAACAACAGCCAAGAAATACGCACACATGAAAGGTACTGGCACGATGTTAAATCCTTTATTCATTGGCTATCACAACACTATCTTAACAGCATGCGATTCCAAAAATACGTTTCAACCTGGTATGTTTATTAACTTTAAACAAAAAGCTTCAGAGTTCCGACAGCGTCAGAACTAGTACCGTACAAGTCGCCAAAATCATGTACGAAAAACAAAACCACATCAGCAATGCCGTCTACGAATATAGGGAAAGTATACTTCTTCTAACCACCCATCCATCCATCGTTCAGCTGTAACACCCTTCCGGTGCCTAGCTGCCATGCCACCCGGAGGAAGCACGAGGGCTGGGATACTGCCAAGTCCCCCAAGCCTAGAGAGGGGAAGTCGAGTGGGAGAGGTCGGGTTGGAACCACGGACCTTCCGGTCAGTAAATTCGCGCTCTAAACACTTGGGCCATCTCACCCCAACCATCGCAGAAAGAACAATAGTTAATGATGGGAAAATGAAGCGGAAACAGGCCTAGTGAAAGAATGTTCAGCGAGTAGGGCTGTATCAACTATTGGAAAGACATCAAGACAACGAAAAAACGGAAACAAAGATCACACCCACCAACTGTATACAAACTAGTATCCACTACCCGTAGGACGGTTCCAACACGTTCGACCGTTGGCAAAGGGCTGCTAAGACGGTTGTCTGTCGAAGTTACGCGTACCGTCACTTCGCTACCGGGAGTGGGTTCACCTGAGACCAAGGCGTTCTCATCCACTGAAACAATGCCCTGCAGCACAGAAGAGAAATGCATTCGTCACTATCCGCCAGCAACTGCTAGTGTTTGGTAAAAAGCTACAAGGATTTACAGAGAAACTGAACATGGAGAGTAGAAAACAGGAAGGAAATGAGCCAGTGGTGAACTAGTCTCAGGTAACAGGATACTTACTAATTAAACCATTTGGATGGAGATTGACTGTAAGGATGCGATTTACATCCGTTCGTACGTTTGTTTTCGTCAGGCACAAAAAGAGCCGCTGACCACTGGTCGTCTTACAATCGTTCAGCTGTAACACCCTTTCGGTGCCTAGCTGCCATGCCACCCGGAGGTTGCACGAGGGCTGGGATATTGCCAGATTGCCCAGGCATAGACAGGGGAAGTCGAGAGTCAGAGGTTCGAACCACGGATCTTCCGGTCAGTGAATTCGCGCTCTAATCACTTGGACCATCTCGCCCCACTGACCGCTGGACTGAATGGCGGTCACGTCAAACGCACCCGGGCTACCCTACCATCCTCATCTTACTTTTTCGTTCGCAGGTATACGAATTAGATATGAAGAATACCACTTCGAACGATACAAAACTGCCATCGGAAAGGAGAAAACTCGGTCTAAAGGATGAAACGCTAGCTAGTCTGAACTAGAACCTCATTAACTCAGTTATATGGGGGGAATTAATTATCCAAAAGCAAAGCCAAACCATTTGACTGTGATCAAGGTGAGAGGGTTCACGTAAACCAACTTTCGAGACGAAACATGTAAAACGGCTCCAGAGTGATCAAAATACCCCGCAAGCACACATCGACTAAAATAACATTCAGAACGTTTTGGAACAAAGTTACCAAGCCGACCTAAACGACGAAAAATAAACAAATGGGACTCGAAATTGTGTCAGTGAATTGCCACCGCTGTTGTTCACTTGCTACGGACCCACTCAAAAAGTGTTATCTTGGGCGATCACCACCTACTTTGCGCTGTAATGCAAAATTAGGTTACTTTGCTACTATTCGGGCTTACTTATCTGTAAACTGTTCTGCAAGACAGACAAGTCGATGTATCATGTCGCACTGCTGAAGCTTCTCGATTGTTATCCCTGCTAGGTTGATACAGTTGAGCAAAGCGGCAGTGCATCATCAGTAGTTGAGTTCATAAAACAAAGGTTTTGTTCGAGGATAGTGACAAACATCTTGGCCTAGTTTGAGCAGTATAAGATTTCCCCCAGGAAGTAAAATACGGCTATACAGAACCAGGGTAAGGATGTCCCCAACTCATTCCGGTTGGGATTATTTAACTAAATGTATGAACGTGGTGGGTTGTGTGACTGCACGAAAATGTGGACTGATGCCAGACACACACGTCACTTGACAAGTTAACTCAAGGCCTGTTACAATCTTGTTGTGGCAGGAAAGGCTCACTTAAATTATTTTCTATGGGGCGCACCAAAGCGAGTCAGTCTACCAATTTAACTCGGGTGACTGTGTATCTCCTGGTTATATCGTCTAACCAGCTATACCTTGTGCAAGGTTTCAGAGCGAACGTACGCTACCAATATTATCGAGGCGTATCTTAATCCTTCAGACAATGGTTAGACCCGACTGGCTTTGGAGGGATTGAGCCGGTGAACCTTAGATCTCTGCAAGTTACGTATATACTAAAAGGTTAGAAACTAGACAATGTTCAGTGACCACGATCGGCAAACTATGAACTGACTATACTAGAAAGGTAGTAGGAGAGCATTCAACGTCCATCGTATTCCATCAACAGGGGAACTATAAGGGGGTTCAAGATATCCAACCTCCTTTTGTGGTTCGGATGTACAAGGAGTTACAATCTACGGTGCAGGCGGCTGGATTCTTCTTAGTAATGTTTCGATTTGGAGTCCTGAAACAAGAAGGCGATGATAGGCAGCACGCAAGAAAAAAGTAGTAGCCTGTTGTGAACTACATGAAAAGGTCATGCAAGGCCTTCAGTGACATAGTCAAATAAAGTACACGGCGTCACGTAAGTTCGAATTCCCTATGAATATGAGATGCACTTCCAATCGTATTCCAGTAGCAGAGTAAGCAGTCACTGGTGAATAGTTTGTCAATGTGCACAGCAAGTAATGGAAGGAATCACAAAGTATCCCTTTCACAACGCCCTTACAAAAATGGCATAAAAATTCAACCAAAAATATGTGACTGCATGATTAGAGTGAAATTAATGACACGTTGAATGAAACTTGAAAGATTCTGTGAGTTGTGCATAACGGCTTGCAGGGAGAATGAAAAGGGATAGCTAACCACAAATCCAAGTGGATGCGATGAGAACTGCCACACCATAAAACAGGTGGACCAATTACCTTTGCTCCCTTCAGCTGGATACGGAGGCGAAACCTTAGAAGCACATCATCAACCGTAGCCTCACAATAGGCACCTCGGTATTTGGCACTCACAGCCGTTCCATTTGTCAGAAATATAACTGGACCACAGTTCTTCGGACCATCATCAGTGGTACTTTCAGATAGCAAGAGGGCTCCTGCAGTGTTGGTGTCGGTCATTTCAGGGAGCTGGAAGCAAGAATGTCATGGATGATAGGCTTCGCAAAAAGTGTGGTTAACGAAGTACGGACACATCATCCTCACAGATAGTATCATCAGTGTTGACAGTGACGCTTCACTGCGATCACAAAGTCTAGTTATATTTAAAGCCTTAAATTGGAAAGAGTAGAATGGATGGGGGAAGAACATGGTGCTGATCTATCTTCAGCATTCAGAAGCACCTACACATCCAAGCACTTCATCAGAGAATCTGGAAAGAAACTGATGGCATGGAATCCACTGATATAGAGGGGCCACCATTTCTTGTACTACCTCCAGGAAGCGCAGGGGAGATTACTGGGACTACATTCTGGAGAGAGAACCCCAACAAACGCAAACTCTTCGGAATCTCTTTCATACCCTTCTGCCAAGTAACAATTTGTCCATCTCGAAGTTTGGCATTCTGAAAGAAGTACGGGGGCAGCACTTTTCAAGGTAGTTTCAATACATGCAGCATATAGCCGAGGCACTGTAGATGGTTTTCCAGCTGTTTCATGCGACTGGAGTGCCGGGAGACTGAAGACGCCTCACATAAAATGTCTGCAGAGTCCATTCTCGCAACCATACAATCAAGCAATCCATTCAAGAAATTTATTAGTTATAAACCGTGTACCATTGGTTCCAGCTGCTACCGGAAAACGGGAATGTGGGACGTACAACCAAGCCTTGGAGGCGAAGGCATGTTCGGTTTGTACGGAAATTGGGTAGCTACGCATCGAAGGTGATAGCTTTGATGCACGAGCGCCAGTGACTGCGCCATCGGGCTATTTCTGCCAATGTCATTAACTATGGGTGATTTGAGTCCCAGTGTCCCCATCCAGGGAGGCGGCAGTAGCCCACCCGATTAAGCTGACTGGTTAGTGTTTTCGTACTTCGTTGCCAGGTCATACAGTGTCCACTTCCGGATCGCTTTCACTCAGTACAGGGCTGGAAAAAAGCTCTGTGAGGCAGACGGTCTTCTGGCAAGCGGAGTAAATGTCCCAATCAGCGCAGCCTATAAAGCGTGAGTAATTCATCTATCGCGGGAGGGTTCCTTCTTCCTAAGACCACCTGGCGTACCTCAGCATCACAAATTCTATGTTCCCACCAGACCTGACCAATGCTTCAGAGGCACCGATGACCAAACACTGATATCTTCCGTATATCCTCTGCGCGTATGGACCATGTCTCTGATCCATAGAGTAGTATGGACCGCACTACCGCAGTGTAAACTTTCCCCTTGACAGACAAGCTCACGTCTCTTCGGTGCCATAGGTGTCGAAGACTTATACAGCTTCCCAGGTAAACAAATTTATCTACAATGAACTGTGGGTTCGATCCCACCTAGTCTTGTAGCAGCACTTTACACCTTGCCGGTGTGAAGCGCATGCCAAACCGTGCGGCAGAGTTATTTAGGTTACTTAAAACCGTCCGCATTTGGGAAGGATCTGAACCAAGCAGAGCAATACCGTCTGCATACTCAATGTCTGTGAGGGGTCGTCCTGGGGTATTTCAACTCCCCAGGTTTCAGAGGCAGGTAGAGAAATTTCAAGCAGCATAACAAAGTCGAAGAGGAAAGGGGAAAGAGGACAGCCTTGTCTTACACCACTGGACGTGGTGAACTCAGGCGAAAGCTTGCCGTACGCGCCCACAGGAGTTAGCACACAATGACCTCATAAAAAAGAAATTTTGAAGGGACACCTTTGATTGCCAGACAGTGCCACAGTTGCTGACGATCGACA